TGGCCTCAGGGTCAGGGTTTTTTCTTTAAATCACTTCAATTCTAAGTAGTCGTTTCACTCATTCCTGAGTTTCCCACAAAAACCTAAGCAGTGGAAGCCTGATATAGCCTGGGGCACTTTCCTAAGTACATCTCTGAAGTAAAAAAAAAAAAATAAATCCAACAACAAAAAAATACCCTTACCCTATAAGCTCTTCAGAAGCAATGCATGAGCCCACAAACACGTGCATGAGGTTCATGAGGTTGGCCAAGGGGACGTGGCTGCTCTCCTCACCAGGTCTCCCTGCATGTCACCTTTCATGGGCCAGCTGAATGGCCTGGCCCCTGCAGCCACAACAGCCCCCAGATCTTCACTTCTCTGACCAAAAGGGGCTTCCCAGGGTGGTGGTTTTGGGTATGGCCAGAGGTTGGTGCCTGCTGTGGGAGAAGGTGGGGAAGGGCCTCATCAGCATTTGAGGGTTTGCTGAGGGGCTCTGAGGCAGTTCTGCTGTGGGCAAAGACCCTGCCTTGGGCTGGCAGGGGGGCATTGCCCCTCAGGCAGGGGTGGCTCCACGGGAAGGACTGAGAAGTGGGGCAGCAGTGGGGCAGCTCACTCTGACCCGGCCAAGGAAGAATCATGGAATGACAGAATCAATTAACTTAGAAAAGACCTCTGAGATCATCAACTCCAACTCATGACCAAACACCACCAGCTGGACCATGGCACTGAGTGCTGTGTCCAGTCTTTGCTGGACATCCCTCCAGGGGCGGTGACTCCACCATCTCTGAGCAGCCCATTCCAATGTTTAATCACTCTTTCTGTGAAGAAATTCCTCCTAATGTCTGACCTAAATCTCCCCTGGCACAGTTCAGGAATATGCCCTCTTGTCCTATTGCTGGTTGCCTGGGAGAAGAGACTGGCTCCCATCTGGCTACAACCTCCTTCCAGGTAATTGTAGAGAGTGATAAGGTCACCCCTGAGCCTCCTTTTCTCCAGCTCTCTCAGATGCTCGTCACTGGACTTGTGATCCAGACCCAGAGGAGAAGGGAGGCTCTCACAGTGAGTGGGGATGGGGGGCAGTCTCAGCAGTGAGGGTATTGGTGCTGTCCATGACCCAAAAGTCCAGTGGGATCCAGGTGTGCAGTAGGAACAGTATTGCCAGCAAGTCAAGGGATGGGATCCTGCCCATCTAGTCAGACCCAGTGAGACACATCTGGAGTGCTGTGTCCAGTTCTGGGCTCCTCAGGTCAAGAGAGACAGGGAGCTCCTGGAATGGGTCCAGCAGAAGGAAACAAAGATGATGAAGGGACTGGAACATATCTGTGATGGGGAAAGGCTGAGGGAGCTGGGCCTGTTCAGCCTCAAGAAGAGACTTTGAGAGGGGACTCATCCATGTCTGTCAGGGTCTGCAGGAAGAGGGCAGAGGATGGACCAGGCTCTGCCTGGGGGTGCCCAGCAATGGGACCAGAGGCCACGGGCAGAAAATGATGACCAGAAAGTTCCACCTGAACATGAGGAAGAACTTCTTTACTGTGCAGTGACCGAGCAGTGAAGCAGGTTGCCCAGAGACAGTGTGGAGTCTCCCTCATTGGAGATACTCCAGAATCATCTGGACACAATCCTGTCCATGTGCTCTGGGATGACCCTGCTTGAGCAGGGAGGTTGCACCAAATGACTCACCATGGTCCCTTCTGACCTGAACCATTCTGTGATTCTGTGAGGGGAAGAGAGGGGCTCTGGGAGGTGTGAGCGGTATATGAGAGAGTGTGAGAGTGTGAGGGGGCTCTGAGGAAGGGCTGTGAGGAGGGACTGTGAGGAGGATATGAGGATGATGTGAGTGGGATGTGATGGGCTGTGAGAGGGGGGGGGCATG